TGAAAGCTAAGCAGGAACTGCCTAGGGAGAGGGAGGAAAGGGGCAATCTAGGTGAGGCAGAGATGCAGAGGCAGGAATCGATGTCATGTGGGAGAAGCAGGAACAGGGTTTGGATTCGACTAGCAGGGAGCAGGTGGGGTCCTCATGGCAAGCAGAGGCTGAGGAGTAACCCTGGAGGATGGCTCAGCTCTACAGAATGAGTTCCCCAAGGGTGCAGGGGCTGGACCAGTTGCCACCATGCTGCCCGCCCATCTCCACCCACCCCCACCCAATCCCTGGACTGCCAGGATCTCTGGGCAAGGGGCCGGGGGCAGCTAGGGAGGCGAGTACAATTCCAGCTTGAGAGAGACAGCTGTGCAGGCCTTCTGCCTGCTGCAGGGGATTAACTGGCACCGCCACAGTAGGTTGTGGGGGCACCTGGTTCCCCAGCTCTGCCCACCCCTGCACCTTTTAACTCCTTGCTGTCAGGCCTCCTTACCGGGCAACCACCCTGCTTGGCCACCAACTCTCTGAGTGGCTGGGCTGGTCCTGGGCTTCTGTTTCATTACCCGTTGGGTGTGTGGCCTCCAGGGTTGTCTCAAGTTTTAAATCATATGCAGAGAGTGGGGAAGAGATGGGGGTGGGGGAGATGCTACAGTAGAGTCTTGGGTCTGCTCTGGCCCTAACAGCCAGAAAAAGCCCTCCTCACCCTCAAAGCCCCTCAAGAGAATGAGACAGATACAGGTAGGTGTGTGCGTGCCCCTCACACAGGTGCATAAAGGAGGTGGGTCATTCTGTAGGAACCAGCCCACAATTTCCTTTCTTCATTTAACATATCCTATAGAGCCCAACATGTCAGTGCACGAAAGGGCTACATAGTATTCTACAGCATGGCTGTACCAGGTTATTTAATCAATCCCTATTAATAGGCATTTAAAGTTAGCAATTTTTAAAACTTAGGACAATGCTGCAATGAGCACCCCTAGCACATTCCTCTGTATAAATTTTCTTTAGATGCTATATGTTTCAAATTGCTGCTGTAGCAAATTACCACACACTTAGTGGCTTAAAATAATACAAATTTATCCTTTTAAAGTTCCAGAGATCAAAAGACTCAAATCAGTTTCACTGGGTTAAAATCAAGAGGTCAGCAGGCTCGTGTTCCTCTGGAGGCTCTAGGGAGAATCCATTTCCTGGATTTTCCAGCTTCTAGAGGCTGCCTGTTTTCCTTGGTCAACAGCCCCTTCCTCCAACTTCAAAGTGTGTCACTCCAACCTCAGCTTCTGTCATTTCATCTCTGTCTCTGACTCTGGCCCTCCTGCATCCCTTTTATAAGGACCCATGTGATTACACTGTGTCCACCTGGATAATCCAGGATAATCTTCCCAATTTAAGACCCCTAACTTAATCACATCTGCAGAGTACTTTCTATCATGTAAGTTAGTATAGTCACATGTTCTAGCTGCCTAGAAATAGGATGACTTAGTCAAAGGATATACAAAGGTACTTCAAAAAGTTTGTGGATAGAATTGAAAGATAATACAAATCTTTCCACAAACTTTCTAACGTGCCCCCACATGTATTCTTAATTAAATCAACATCTCCAAATTGTATCCGTGAACACTCATATCAACACTTTGGTATTGCTTCCTTGGAGGGCAATTGGGCAACACTCATTAAAGTTCAAAATCCTCACCCTCTTCTGTCTTCTCCACAGTGCAGAGGAGGCTTGGTGATTTGCCTCTTGTTAGTCTTTCACTAAAGTGTCCTAGCCTAAAACAGTTGGTTTGGCCAGAGGGGGTATAGGGGATCAGGACTCCCAGGGGAACAGGACTGGGAGTTTTGGTCAAAAGGTTGGAGTGGAAGGTTGGCTTCCAGGAGGAGCAGGCAGGAGGGGGTGACTGGGTGGGAGTGGAGGTGAGGTGGGGAATGAAGAACCAGGCACACTGTGATTCCAGAAATGGGGTATGATCATCAGAAGCTATGCCCCCTGTGCACGTATGGTGAGGGTAGAACAGGAGGGCTGAGAGCTGTTGCTGACTGGAGCCCAGGAGAGCAAGGCCACCAAAGCTGGGTCACTGGTGACAGATCGGATGTGGGAAACGGGCATCTGAAAGTCCGGGGCCACCCTCCGAGACTGCAGAGGGACATTTAGGCCAAGGCTTGCTGACCTGACACCTGATGCCCTCTGCCTCCGCCTCACACACAACAGCTGACTCTTCAAAAGCTGCTTTCTCCTACCTGGATGTAATAGATGGCTGTGGTGGTGAGGTGGGGGATGAACAGCTGGGAGCACTGAGATTCCAGCAATGGCTAAAGAACCACCTATGCCTTCATGTGAACATCTTGCTGTATAATACAATCAGGATTTTAAATCAGTTCTTTTTAAAGGTTTGTTTAAAGTCATGTCCTGTTGAGCTCAGGGCTTGAAACTCTGACAGCTATCGATATGGGATTTAGGAATTGTGTTGTGGCTAAGGAAATGACTACAAGCCAACGATCGTCATTAGTGACGAAGAAGTTTGAAAGCCCTGTCCCACCCCACCTCCAGCTATAATGACAGGAAGTTTTAAAGTACAAAGTATGCATTTAAGGCTATAACTGTCCCTTTAAGTGCTGCTTTATCTGCATCTCACAAGTTTAATGTGTTATAATTTCATAATTACACAGATCAAAATGTCTAATTTCCATTGTGATTTCTTCTCTGATCCATTGCCTATTTAAAAGTGTGCTGCTTATGAGGCTGTGAAACTCCTTTTTTGTTAGGAAAAGTCCCAGGGTCCATGTTAGCGGACAGAGGTACCATGAAGGGAGAAGCTTACTTGTGAAATAAAATCCAAGCCTTCCAAGTGTTAGCTTCAAAAAGACACGCTGTACCCTATACAGGTGGGGTGAAGCGCTTGCACCCTAAGCACTAACTTAGGCCCAAGGAATCCCCCCTCTTATTGAGGGATATTTCCTGCCCTACCCTCCTCCTTCCCACATGGGACAATCTAGGAAAGTACCCTCCCACTTGTTTCTTAGGTGTGTCAACTGTCCTTTAAAGTTGAAGGGTCACTTAGATCCTATCCCTGGATTCTCCCTAACCTTAGCACCATCAATGTAGCAGCAAAAACTTATAAAGCTCTTTGGGAGAACAACCAGGAAATAAATACAGAAATGTTCAGAGGTCAACGTCAAACCTACTCTCAGGGCCTGCTCCATCCACATCCTATGTGACAGGTATGTGTGCCTGGCCCCACAGAGCTAGAACCACTCCTCAGTGCCCTCACCTGAGTGTCGGCTCCCCAGTTCTCAGTGTTTTTTTCCTTTTCCCTCCAGAGGCCAGTCTCTGATCAGTTCAATTCCAACCAGCAGACCCCCACCAATGGCCTGCTCTCAGTGGGGCATGGTGCTGGGCATGGGTGGAGCAGAAGTTGGGCTGACCTTTAGGGACATAAATAGGGTCTTCTCTTCACAGCTGACACTCCTTCAGATTCAAAGCAAAGCTGGCATTCTCAGAGATGCTCAGAGGCCTGAAGCCTTCCAGTGGTTTATTGATACATAAGTAGAACACAGGGGAACAAGGAGGCTGCAGGAACCACTGGGGACCATCCTGGCACCACCTCCTCACTCCAAGGAGTGCCAGGGCAGTCACACATTTCCAGACACATGGGGCAATGCTGGGGCCTGAACAACTCCATGTTCATGCCCTTTGGACCCAGTGGCAAAAAGGGGCATAGGGGTGGGGGGCCTACAGAGTGGGGTGTGGAGGGGGTTCTGGCCCTGGCTTTAGGAAGGACACTCTGGTTCAGACACCAGGCTCTGACATATGTTCAGGGACCTGGCAGCAGCACACGCACAGGGCTGCATTTTCCACTGACAGACGCTTTCCCGCTAAACAGTCCCATGGAGCACAGAGCCTGGAATTGGCTGAGCCACAAAACCCTCACTCAGGCCCCTCCAGAGACCAACTCTGCTAAGTCCTTGGAGAAAAGGCACATCGCAAAGCCAGTAGCTGCATTTGCAGGCTGAATGTGCCCTTTAAACCATCTAGGGCCCTTGGAGGGGTGGGCTATCCACAGCGTCCCAGGGAGTAGTGCTGGACCCTTGCTGAGGAGGAATTCATTCTTCCCTACTGCCGCCTGGCAATAGCCAGCCCACCTGCCAGGAAGGTCAGCTTGGGGGCGGGTTACCAGGCACAGGCACGGGCCTGCTCTTCTAAATCCTTTCCTGGATTACAATATCAATATCAGAACACCAGGGCATCCCTCTTGGGGCTACAGAGGACTTCAAGGTCACTGAGCCCACTCAGTCTCTGTGCCTGACCTCAGACCTTGGTGAGAGGACCTGGGCCCTGAAGCCCATATTCTTTGCTTTTGGAAGCCCTTCTGGGCAGCTGTACACAGGCCTGCATGTTGCCATTAAGCCCCCTTTCCTTTGACTGTGTCTGCATTTCTCCTGTGGTCCAAAGGGCCAAGAAAGATGGGCCGGCCCGGTGGCGCACTGGATAAGTGCGCTGCTTGGGAAGTGCGGCGGCGCTCCCGCCCGAGGGTTCGGATCCCACATACAGACCGGTTCCCGCTCACTGGCTGAGCGAGGCGCGGGGGCAACGCCGAGGGTTGCAATCCCGTTGCCGGTCCCCGGTCCGGTACGGGGGCAACACTGAGGGTTGCGATCCGTTGCCGGACACAGAAAAAGACAAAAGACAAAAAAAAAAAAGAAAGAAAGAGCAGGGGCCACCCCATCCTGACCCTTTGCTTGGTCTTTGGTCCAGCTTCAGTCCCAGCATCTCGGGAAAGCTCTCACCCCCTCCACCAGAGAACTGTGGCCAGAGTCACAGATGTGCAGGGGCTGCTGCCCCTGGATCTACGCCCATTCCCAACTTCAAGCCAGGGACAGAGTTGAGTTTCTTGAGCCCTCAGCTGAGGCACTTTCCTATGTGTGGAGGAGGTGGAGCCCAGAGAAGGAGGCAGGACGGGCAGGTGTGGCCCTTTCTGGTCACTCCTGAGGCCTCTGACCACTATTCAGTGCTCAGCACATACCAGCTTCCCATCACCTTTAATATCCGCCCCCCCACACACTGGGCCCACTGGAATCAGAAAAGTGAGGGTGGCAGAGGTGGTCCAGCAGCCCTGGTCCCCAGGCCTCAGGACCACTGGCAGGCACAGTCGGTGGGCTCCTGCACTGTGTAGGGCACCCAGGTGGCATTGGTGGCACAGAAGAGCTGCACAGAGCGTCGTTGCAAGCCCACCTCACGGCAGCACTTGCAGAAGCGGGCATAGGTGTTGATGTTGTAGTTGTAGATACTGGCAGACGGGCACCTCCCATCGCAGGACACTAGGTTCACCTAGAGATGGGCAGGCCAGTGAGGCAGCCTGTGGAGCTTTCACCCCCCCAAGCCCCCCGTGCCCATCTTTGGCTGCCCCCCTACACCATGTGGGCACCACACACAGGGGTGTTGCTCCTGCAGTCATTCTTGCGGATGGTCATGCGGATGGTCACCTTCTTGCAGGAGCGTCCATCCTCCTTACCTGGGGGGACAGGGTGGATGAAGCAGCCATGGCTGAGACAGGCTCCCTGGGGAAAGCAGGATGGGCCAGCCTGGGGCAGTTAGTGTCATGCTGCGGGGGGTGTCCCTCTCCCAGCGTTAGCGCCCATGCATGAGTGCCCTTCCCCATCAGGGGAAAAGCCTTTTAACCCCATGCCCTGAAAGGAGGTGGAGTCAGGGAGGCAAAGACAGAGCAGCCTGAGCAAGCAAGACAGAGGAAGATGCCTGGGATGGCCAGCGGGGCCCCTTTGGGGACTCTGGGCTAGGGAAGAGGAGGATTTGGGGACAGGGGCAGGCTGCCTCCCCATCCCAGCCCCAACATCTGTCTCTAGCCCCTGTTGTCACCCCTAAGTGTGTCCTCATTCCTCTCTGAGCTTCAGTTTTCCTACTCTGAGAGGGCTTCTAGCATCCAGATTCTGCACTTTCCTGAATAAATGGAAACCCCAGTCCCTCGTAGGATGCTTCACACAGCAGTTTCTCTGGGTTTCTATATCAATCAAAGGGGACCAGGGACTCGCCCACCTGGCAGAGCTATTGCAGGAATGGATATTGATGAGTAGGGGCTTTCCTCCACCTGGATCACGCCTCTCACAGACAACCAATGGAGTGGCTCATTCACGCCCTCACCTCCTTTAGCAATTTGTTCCAATATTTCCTCACTGAGGCCTTTCCTGATCCCCTTCTTGAAATTGCAGCTCCCTCCCTCCCTCCACCCAGTCCTTCCTGCCAGACCCCTCCCCTGCCTTATTGTATCCAGAGCACAATCACTGTCCTATCAGAGACACATTTGTAATTGCACTGTTGAAGCCTAATAGATTCAGGGCTTCCGTTTGCATGGGTCCCTTCCACAATCTGTTGTGAGTTTTTTTCTCGTTTTAAATAAATATTCACTTTCACATCTCAGTATATATTTGTAATTTTTTGTTCTTTTTCTTAATGAAGGCCCCCAAATTGTATAAGCTTCAGGCCCCACAAAACTCAATGCATCCATCCTATTCTATATTTTACTCGTTGTTCTGTCTCTCCCACTGAAATGTCAGCTCCACAAGGCCTTGTCTGTGCTGTGTCTACAGTGCCTAGAACAGTGCCTGGCACAGAGCTGGTTCTCAATGAATATGTGCCCAGTGCATGGACTCGCTCTGGAAAACAGGGAGCCTACCAAAAATGGGGTGGAATCTTTTCTTCTGGTCTCTGGGCCTCACCCCAGAGGCTTTCTACCACACCAGCTAGATGGCTCCTGGCCAGAGTTAGGTCCACTTTTTCCCCCCTCTGTGATCTCACAAGGCAGGAGAATCAGAATCAAGGGCTGTCCTGGCTGTGGCCCTCTGGCTGAGTGACCAGACTAGTTGAGTGACCAGCGGGAGTAAAGCGGTGGTGGCATTGGACATTTGTGAGGGCAAGGTGAGTGGGCACTGCTGAAGCACTCCCATGCAAGCCCAGGGGATGCAGCTCTCTACCCAGCATGCACTGTGGGCTAAATGGCCTTTGCCAGAGGCAGGGAGCAGGGGACCTCCCCCACCCCCACCCCCAGAGCTCAGGGCCACCTAGCAGAAGGGACATTGTTGGAAATAGCAATGCGGCTGCCTGCCTCCAGTCCAGCGGGCTTCCGAGAGGAGTACCTGGGTGGCAGTGGACACTAACCCGTGGAGGAGAGGCAGAGCTAACGGGGACCACAGGAAACAGGGTCCCCGGGGAACCTGGGGAGAGGGACATGGGTCGCAAGTCACATGGGACATTCAGGAAACGCGAAATTGTGTGTCAGGGATCAGCCAATGAGGACTTGAGCCCAGCTTCTTCAGAGTATGTGATGTCAAGAAAAAAGGACCCAAAATTCTGCAGTCCTCTGAGGACAGGGTCTGAGTACCCTAGGAGGAGGGCAGGTACGTGGGCATAGGTCCTGAGGCTGGTTGGGTGCTGCAGGTGATTGGTGTTCAGAGCTTCAGGAGCCAGGTATAAAGACAGATGTACAGACTTCTCACTCAGATTCAGTCAGGGACACTGGAGGCCTGGATCCCACCAGGAGCACTCCAAGACCAGGGCTCCTAACCTCAAGGGAGAATACATGTGGGGGGCATGTGGGCTGGGGGTATCAGCAGGGACAAGAGGAGGCAGAGTGACTAGTGAGCTACTGGCCTCCTGAATGTAATGTCCCCTGTCTCCAACAAGAAGAAGAGGCCTTGTACTGGGACAAGGACATAAGCATGGCCTCTGGCCATCTGCATATTTGTGTCAGTGTCATGAGCCTCATGGTGGGGGGTTATCCCAACATCTATTCACACCTGAAGAGCTTCTGTCATAGGTGCCAGGCCAGGAACCCAGCCTCTGAGCTCTGACATGACACCCGGTCCCCCCACCAGAGTCCCTTGCCCCTGGGCCTCCCCCATGCTCACTCACATGTCCTGCAGCACCCTTCCAAGGAAGGCACCACCGAGCCGCCAACCTGAAGAAAGAGGAGGGAATGGTAGGTGGGGAGACCCCTGTCCCAGACCAGGAGTCAAGATCTCAGCAAGATTCCACACAAAATTCCACAAGATCCCACAAGATCCTAGTGTGTGAGTACATGTGTGATCTTGCATGTGTAAGTGTATGTATGAGTATCATCAGGGGTTTGTATGTATTCGTTTTCTAGGGAAGTCAGAAATCGTCAAAGGTCCAATTTTAATCTCAGGAACTTTAACATTCAGCAATAACCCAAACTCTCCAAGAAATCCTTTTCCTCAAGGTGTGCCCATACTGAAAGCTATCCGTGCTAGTGCTGGACACCGTCAGCCCTTCACAGACTGAACTATGCGTGGGAGCAAGAACATGCCCATGTGAGTGCCTGGGGGTGTGATGGTGCATGGTGTGTGCACTGGCATGCTGAGTGTGCTACTGTCCCTGTGCAGTATGCGGTGTGTGAGTGGCCAACTGCCTGTGCTGGTTTCTGTACAAGTGTGCCTAGCACATGTGACAGTGTGTGTTTGCATGCATCAGTGTGTGGTTGTGCAATGTGGGAGGATGCAGGTGTGATGTGGTCAGAGCAAAACTGCATGGAGAGACGTGGATTTAGGGTGGCAGTGCAGGCTCCAGCGAACCCCTCTTCTGATGCCCCTGCACATAATACTCCAGTCCTGCCCCCAATGCCACCAGTGACACAGCCAATGCCCCTGGCCTAAGGCCACACCACAAGAGGAGGAGGCACTGACCTTGGCACACTCAGTCTCGTTGAGCTGTGGGCAGCTTATGGGTGAGCGGACAAGCACGGCGCCCAGGGGAGTGCTGCTGCAGTGGTGGCGGGCGCAGTCTGCAATCCAGGATGCACCAGGCTGGAGGACACAGGAGAGAGTGATAGGGCTTGTCGCCAGATGGAGCCAATGGGAATAGCCCCCCAAACAAGTGCAGCCCAGGAGCTGGCACTGTCCAGGACCCCGTCTGCGCCCAGCCCTGGCCTGGGAGCCAGAGCGAGTCCTGGTCCTAGGGTCCCTTTCTTGGAGGACACAGGAGAGAGTGATAGGGCTTGTCGCCAGATGGAGCCAATGGGAATAGCCCCCAAAACAAGTGCAGCCCAGGAGCTGGCACTGTCCAGGACCCCGTCTGCGCCCAGCCCTGGCCTGGGAGCCAGAGCGAGTCCTGGTCCTAGGGTCCCTTTCCGGGACACCTCCCCAGGGGGCAGTCAGGGCAATGCTTACCAAGAACAGGGAGGTAGTGCCGTTGGGGAAGGTGAAGAGGCAGGACACATTCCTGCAGGAGCCACAGCAGGCCGCCAGGTCCCGTGGGTGCTCATACTCCTGGTTCTGCAGGCCAGGGCAGGGCGGGCCTCAGCCAGGTGCCCACCTCACCCTCCGCTCTCCACTGTCTGCTTGTTTCTGAGCCAGCACAGTGCCCAAGAAGGGCCCCCTGGAGGTGCTTGGGAAGAGGAACTCGAGCCTCCTTCCACCTCAGACAGGCAGGTCATCCTTAAGTGGACCTTATGCCTCCCTCACTGCCATCCCTAGACCCAGCCCCAGTGGACAAATAGCATTTCCACCCTCCCAGAGGCAGCATTTCTGCTAACTACAGGTGCTTGTTTTGGTTCCAGACGGACCTCAATTGAGTTGACTTTCAACAAATGATGGACCCTCCCTAAACCCCAGTTTTCTCATCTGAGAAATGGGTACAACTCTAACCCCTTTTATTCAACTAACACTTATTTAGCCCTCACTAGAAGCCAGTCGCTGTCCTAGGCACTTGGCATGTACAAGTACTCAACAAATGGCAGTGACACAAACATATGAGCCAAAAGGCTGAGGAGTGTGCCCGGCATTCAGTAGGTGCTCAGTACATGTGTTTTCTCTCTGTCACGTGCCCACCCCTGCCAGGCCTTACACCTGTCTCTTTGCTCTTGGTGTTGCCCTCCTGGCCTCTCCTAGCCCAGCCCCTCTCCCGGCACTTCCTGCAGAAGCTTCCGAGGGTCCCTCTGATGCCCTCTTTAGCCTTGTCTGGGGGCTTCGGGAAGGCTTCAAGCCCCTCTGTTTCTGGAGCACAAGGGCCTTCCAGGCTAGCCCTCCCTGACCCCCACCCTCCCCGCCCTGCACGCTCCCTACCGCCTCGCAGTGGACGTCGCACAGCACGGAGGTGGTGTTGATCTGATAGAAGCTGGTGAGGGGGTCGAGCACGTCGGTGCAGTGGGAGGTGTGGCATACACCGTCCGCCGAGAGCTCCACCACCGTCTGGCCTGGCTGCATCACCCCCAGCTCACGGCTCAGACACACAGGGGCCTTCACTGGATGAGCATGCAGGGTGGTGACAGTCTAAAGCCCAGCCCACCACGGCCGCCCAGCCCGGCTGCACCCCAGGCCTTCCCTGCCCCACTCACCACCTTTTATTACTGATCACTGATTCTCACACCTGCCTCCCAAAAGGATGTGAGGTGAATTTTAACAAAAGTTATGTGAACTATCAGCCAGTTGCAATAAAGATGTTTTAAGATGGAAAAGCTTTTAGGAATGGGGGATTGCTTTATTTCTTCCTTTATCCTGGAAAGATAAAGACGTAAGAATGCTCAGCACTCAGAAAGTGATGCAGGAGGACGGAGGTGATTTTGGTGGCTTCCCACTAGAGACTCTGGAGGGGTCAGATCTGAGCCAGGTTGACAGTGGTGGGGCCCGGTTCCCCCACCCCTTCCTCAGCAGGGGCCCTGGATCTCTGCCTTGAGAAGGACATTTGTATCGTGTCAAAGTAATGGGTTACTTTCTGGTTGAAAGAGGAAAAATGTAATGTCAGATGGAGGGCCCAGGCAGTGAGCACCCTAATCCAGGGGACTTACCACAGGACTTGTAGGGACAGCAGCGGTCTGGGCTCCATACCTGCACCAGGGCAGTGCCCAGGCCACACTGCACTTGAGGACAGCGGAAGCTCTCGCACACTGCGGGGAAGGAAGGCAGCCGACACATCAGTCGCTGATGCCTTGCAGTGTGACTCCTTAGAAGTGCAGCACTGTCTGAGGAGGGGGCACCTTCCAGCTCCTCCCTAAGTCCCCCCAATGTCCTCAGACACCCGCCAGGGCTACAGTCCAGGGAAAGCATCGGGGCCCCTGCAGTCACCCCATAGAGCCACTTCAGGAGGTCCTGGAGCTGTTCCTGTGAGGCATTAGTGATATGACAGTGTCAGAACCTTAAACTCATTAAACTGGGCCTCCCTCCCTTGGAGACTGTGTCATCGTAAGAGCAGGAGTCAGAGGGGAGCCAGTGACCAGGGTAAGGTCCGCCAGTGGGGAACGTTTCCCTCCGTGGAACACAACTCTTCCCACCTGTGGAAACTTCGTCCCTTCGTGGCCCACCCGAGCCTGCCTGGCTTCAGCCGATGCTGCCCTCTAGGGCTCACGCTTCCTTTCTTCCCAGTCTTCAGGCTGACCTCTCTTAGTTTAGGATTCCTCAGCCATTCTCATTTATTGAGAGACCGAGGCAAGGGTGAGAAACTCCCTGGCTGCAACATTTGGGTGGAGATGGGAGGGGCAGGGCAAGGCTGGCACTGAAGGAGAGGGTCTGAAAACTGAAAGATTTAATTGATTTACTAATAAAACCATTGGCACAGGCAGGGATTATCAAGTGGTGTTCCAAAAAATTATGAGCGGGGGGAAGAAGGACATTTGCATCATGTCAAAATAATGGGTTACTTTCTGGTTAAAAGAGGAAAAACGTAAATGTAAAATGGAGGGACCAGGCGGTGACTACCCTAATCCAGGGCCGACATTGACATCAGTGGCACTGGCTCAACCAGATAGTAAGCGTCTGCTGCCGAGATGTACTCTGAAGGGCGTGTACTGTGCAGCCAAATACTTCTAACTTGAATCTACCAAGCCTTAGATCTACTTTTCAGTCTGTAGGAAGCTCAGAGGGTAAAGAGACAGCTAAACAGCTCCAAGAGGGAGCAACTGGATACAGCCAGAAGGTGGGACTTTCTGCAGGTCTACAGCCCCAACTCTACAATGTGGTGTCATACAGAAAAGGGGCCCATGCTAGATTGCAAGAGACTTAAAACTCATAATTATAATGTGTGGTCCTGAATTGGATCCTGCATTGGACAAGCAAGGAGAAACATAGACTGGGTATGAGATGAGTTGAAACTTATTAACAGGGAAAGTAAAGATCATTAACTGAAAAGAACAGGTTTAAAAAGCGTGTTCAGAATGACCTCGTTTGGGTAAAGCATAGAGTATCTGGAAGGATGGTACTGAAGTGCTGACAGTGGAATATCTAGCAGGTAGGAAGATGGCGTTGTCATTTTCTTGCATTTACTTGGATTCCGTACTTTCTACAATGCACATATAATGCTTGTGTAATAATGAAAGTATGATGAAGATGAGGAGAAGGTGACAATACCAACAGCCTCCGTTTCTGAGCCCCTACTGTGTGCCAAGGACCGTTATGTACTTCACATACATCATCTCTAACCTTCAGAACGCCCCTCAAGGCAGACACTACTATCATGATTCTACAAATGAGCAGCCTTGGCTTGGCCCACACAGCTGGTAAATGGCGGAACTGGGACTCAAATCCGTGACTGTCTGACTACGCCTGCGCGCCTTCCACATTATCAGCCGGCTCCTGAGAAGTGTGGGGAGGAACGCGAGTAGGATAGGAGGGCTGAGGAGGAGTGACGAGAGGAACAGAAAGAGGGGAAGAGAAGGAGAAAGGGCAGTGGACTTCTAAAATCAGCTTGTGAACGCTGCGACGAGTGGCCTCTGAGGCCCCAGGGGGAGATGCCCGTCAGCCAGTGGTCGAGTGGCTGGGTCATTTGGGGAATTCTCATAGGAGCCTACATTGTTTCCAAATTGGTTCCTGACATTGAGCCAATTAGGGTTGTCCTTGGGATGTCCTGGTGGAGGCCCTTCACCTACAAAGCCCTGTGCAAGTGAGGGTCACCTCACATCTTTCCTACAATTGGTGTGCAGAGCAATTTTATACATTGAGTCATACTTTGTTCATTTTCATGCTAGGTTCACTTAAAATCGATAATGCTGGATGTCCTATGCTTAACAGTTACCACTGAGGTACTGTGAACACAGTACGCACTATATCAAGGCACCGTGAGCACAGTACGCACTATATCAAGGTACTACGAGCACAGTACACCCTATATCAAGGTACTACGAGCACAGTACACCCTATATCAAGGTACTACGAGCACAGTACACCCTATATCAAGGTACTACGAACACAGTACACACTATATCAAGGTACTACGAACACAGTACACACTATATCAAGGTACTACGAACACAGTACACACTATATCAAGGTACTATGAGCACAGTACACACTATATCAAGCTACTGTGAACACAGTACATACTTTATCAAGATACTAAAACATGGTACATAGTATGTACATTGTACATACAAGTACTGTGTCCTGTAAAAATATGAGAAAGGGCCTACTTTTATTTATCATCATAAAATGAAAGTGCTTCACAGGCTTCAAAACATAGGGCCTTCAGCAGCCTCATGAGAAGGCCCTATGGTAACGCAGTGGTGAAAGGGACCCTAAAGCAAGGCCTTGGGTCAGTCAGAGAGTGAGGACTTTGCATCAACGCTGGGGGTACTGGAGGGACCTAAGCACTTGCCCTTCAACCCAGGCCTCCCTCTGGCCTCCATGGAGTAGACAGTTCCCACAGCCTGGCCCAGCTTCTTCGGGTGGGGCCTGCCCTCATCATGGCTGCAGCTGCGCCACCCTTTGGAGCTGGGGGTGAGGACTTTGTGAAGGGGCCCCATGCATATATAAAGGTCCTGGAGCCCCTCCCCACATGGCCCACCATGTGCCCAGCCAGGACTCACCACACTGGTACAGAGGGCAGCAGAGCTCTGTAGTGTTCCTGTGCACAGTGAGCACTTCCCCTTCCTGACACTCAGGGATGGGATCTGGACAATCACCACAGGCTGAGTGGGGAGAGGGGCCACCACTGTCACAGCAGCCCCCCTCACAGGGGCGTGGTACAGAGCAGGCCGCAGGGGTGGGTGGGGGTGGGATACCTCAACAACCCATTTCATAATCTTATCTGAACTGCCCTGGAACCAGAATCTGGAAGCTCTCCCTCACGACCACCCGACGTCTTACACTGAACAAGCGCCAGTGTCCTCACGCTCAGTGATCTAGGGGGCGATGCGGGGTCGGCTGCTCTTCCTCCTACACCGCTTTCTGGACAGTGAGCTCACCTTTCTCCCTATGCCCACCCCACCCGATGACCCCTAGCCTCTCCTCCCAGCCACCCAAAGAAGCAGGCGTGAGGAAGGGGCTGGCTGTGAGCCAGACGGCCTGTCTACCCACTGCAGAAGTAGGAGGTGCAGCACGAGTCCCCCAGGCGGCCCGCGATCAGGGTCTGGTCCTGGCGGCAGCTGGGGAGCTGCTCTGCTTCACATAGATCTGGGTCACACTCTGGGGAGAAGAGACAGTTTAGGTGCTGGGAATAGAAGTTGCCTGGCCACCCATCCTGGCACTGCCCTAATCTCCAGCCAGAACCCAGTCCCCAGCACCTAAACTCCTCCACCCGCCTCAGGCCATATCCCACTCTCCCCGCCCCCTGGGCCTCTCACCACAGCTGTAGCTGGGGCAGCAGGAGTCCTCCTGGAAGTGGGTGAGGAGCCGGTGGCCTGGGCGGCAGGTAGGGGCGAGGCCCTCACACAGAGTCTGGTTACACACTGGCCCAGGGGCCATAGGACCTGTCACCTGGACGTCGGGACATCCCCACCTCCAGCACTGCCCAATCCCTGGACACTTGGCCCCCATCACTCTCCCCAGCTCCAGGACCCATACTCCTGGAAGGGGCCTCTGCAGGTCAAGCAGGGTTGAGGACCAGGATGGAAGAGTAGTAAGAGCTAATGTTCCTCGAGATGTGCCATGCGCACCAGCTGCTGTTCCAAACCAGTATTAAAGCATGTGATTGTCAGAGCAACCCAAGGAGGGTACTACTATCAGCCTCATGCTGCAGGAGAATCTGCCAAGGCACAGAGGAAATAAGATTTGCCTGAAGTCGTAAGGCTGTATAGGTGGTGGAGGAAGAGTCAACCAGGCTCCTGCCCCTCAGGCAGGGTTCTCCACTCCCCCAGCTCACTCCCCACGAGATGCTCTAATTTTCCCAGGCCTTGTCCTTTCCGTCAAGGTTGATGGGCAGGGCTGGAGCTTTTTTTTTTTTTTTTCCTTTTTGTCTTTTTTACTGACCGGCAACGGGATCGCAACCCTTGGTGTTGCGCCCACACCGCGCTCAGCCAGTGAGCGGGAACCGATCTCCACATGGGATCCGAACCCTCAGCGGGAGCGCCGCCGCGCTCCCAAGCAGCGCACTCTCCAGTGCACCACTGGGAGGGCTGGAGCTTTTTAACTGTCTTACAGTTTAGGTCTAGGGAAGTGAAGGGCGGGACTCACCGCAGACAGTCCCCAGGCAGCAGGGGTCCTCAGTGGGCAGCAGCAGGGCCACCTCCCCAAAGCGCGGGCAGCTCTCAGGGCGGGGGTCTGGGCAGTCCAGGTCCACCGGGACGATGGTGTCTGGGGCTTGGCACTGGTGCTGGCAGCAGCCGCTGAGGGAGCTGTTCCAGGTCTCCCCCAGGGCCCGCGGCACCCCTGTGCTATCCGTGCAGGCTGAAGTGGGGGCGTGGCGGGGTGCCAGGGACTCAGAAATTGGGGGAGACCCAGACTGCCCCAGGCTAGACCCTCCCTGGGACACTGGCCACCTCCAAAGCAGAGTTGAAGGGACACAGAGGGACCTCGGCCATGGGCAGCAGGAGGGCAAAGGAGCACCAGGGTGAGGCCAGCTTTGGAGGGTTGCCCAGGAGGGAAGGAACCTACCACACTTGTCCTTAGGGATGCAGAGTGCAGAGTGGCGCCGGTGCAGGATGGTGCCCTCGGAGCAGACACAGCCCTCGCCAAGCACCTGGCACTGTTCTGGGTCCAGAGGGCCCAGCATCCCATCCTGGCATGTCTTGGGGGGCTCACAGGCTGCCACACATGCCTGGTATGTGGAGTCACTGGAGCACAGGAAGGCTGCAGGGGCACAGTGGGAACAGCCTAGCTCAGACCCCAGGCAGGGTTCCCCTTTGGGAATGAAAAGCAGGAAGGGGTGAGGAGGGGCTCAGAGCATCCCCAGCACCTCAGCAGGGAGGGCATAAGTCTAGAGGCCTGGCGACATCAACTTCTTCCTCAGATCTAGAGTCAGCAACGTACAACCCACAGCCCAAAGCCGGCCTGCTGGCTGTTTTCCCAAATAAAGTTTTATTGGAACACAGGCATGCCTGTTCATTAACATAGTGTCTGTGGCTGTATTTATACTACAATGGTAGAATTGAGACATTGTAACCAAGACCATACAGCCCACAAAGCCTCAAATATTTACTATCTGGCCCCTTACAGAAAAAGTTTGCCAACCCCTTGAATTAGATCAGTGTTTTCAAAATTTCTTCACAGTAAGAAGTAGATTTTACATTGTGGTCAATACACACAAGCATGTAGAACAGTTGTCCCCAAACCTGATTGCAAAGAATCACTTGGTAGCATTTGAAAAACCATTGCTAGGACTCCATCCCAGATCAATTGAATCTCTGACTGTGGGACCAGGCATTAATACTTTTTGAAGTTCCCCAGATGATTTCAAAGGGTAGCCAGGGCTGAGAATTATATCAGCCAGGCTGATATATTGAAAAAAAAAATCTTTTTCATGAAATAATTCTTAATCTTTCTTGTACAATAGTATTTTCTATGCTATTCTATTGCATTTTTTAATGCTGGTGCTGACCCCAAAATTGATTTCATAGCCCCTGAGTGGGGATCCACAGTTTGAAAAACGCTACTGTAGATGATTTTTGTCTTTTCCCCTTTAATCTATCATATTGTAGTTGTGGTCTTCCTGTGAGTTGTTTCCAGCCTTTCTGGATGTGTTCACATTTATAAATCAAACTACTCTAGCCCCGGCCACCCCTGGCTACACCATGATTGTAAACCTAACGGGGGTGGCAGGAGGTGGATCTCATTTCCATCCTCAAGGAAGAAGGGGAGACTGAAACAAGAGAAAGAGGAGCAAAAATTAAGAGAAGGGAACTAACATTTGCAGGATGGTCACTATGTGTCGGGCACGTGTGAGGCACCATCACACATTATCTCCTACCATCTTCAAAACAACCCTGGGGAGCTACTATTACTGTCCCCATTTTATAGAAGAGAGATTCAAAGAAATTAAATAATAAATAAAACCAAAATTATTTATTACTTTTAAAATATAAATTATAATAAAAAATTGATCATTAATTAATATAAGATATGTATGTATTTTTGGATTTTCTGTGTACCTTATTGTTTTATCTTATTATTCTAAGAACTTTAGAAAAATGTTAATAAAATTGGAGAAAGCAGGCAAAAAAAAAATTGATCATTAATTAATATAAGATATGTATGTATTTTTATATAATATAAAATTAAATATAAATATTAAAATATAAAATATTTATAATTTTATTAGTTAATATGAATGAATGAGCGAACCTGGGAAAGAGGTCCCCTGTCCCCCCACTCACGGCAGTAGTCGGAGCGCCGCCATTCGATGCACACGTGGAACTTGTGGCACATAGCCACGTACACGGTCAGTGCCACACAGGGCTGCTGCACGTACTTGGTGTCCCGGATCCACAGCTCACAGAACGATTCAGGGGGGACCTGGGTATGTGCATCAGGCAGTGCTGCCTACCCTGAAGCCCCACATCCCAGGATCCAGCTCCTCCCTGCCCTGCCCAGGGAACAATGAGCCTCTGCACTGCAGGTAGGTGCTGCCCTCCCAGCCCAGGAAGTCTCCCTAACACTGGGCCCAGTTGGCACATACAAAGCGGTGGCAGGCACTGAAGGTACGGTTGGACACCATGCGAAGGCAGGGCGAGCAGTCAGCCGTAGTGCAGCTATCTGGGCGGAAGCGTGTCTGGCCCACAGAGGTCAGGGAGCTGGGCACCTGCCAGCTGTCCAGAAAGGGAGCAGGGTCCTCGGCCTCGCCCACCACAGAGCCATCCTTCAGGGTGAGGTCATTGGCTATGTCTCCATCACAGATACCTGAAAGGGGTAGAATTATCTCAATAGTCACAATAATCACTACCATTCCCAGGTCCCCACTCTCACTTTGTGTACTTGTCACAACAATTCTTTCAGGACAGCATCACTATTAGCCCCATTTCATAGATAAGAAAATGAGGCACAGAGAAGCTAGGAAACCTGCTGTGTAAGAAAACATCTTTGTTCTTAGAAAATACACATCAAAGTATTTAGGGATAAAGGGATACAATATCTTGAGCCTACATTCAAATGATTTAGAAAAAATGTGTGTATATAAATTACATTTGCATACATGGAGAGAAAGAAACAAAAAAGCAAATGGGGCAAAATGTGAATAATTGGTAAATCTGGGTAAAAGGTATATGGGAATTCCTTACACTCTTTTTGCAACTTCTAAGTTTGACATTACATCAAAATAGAAAGTTACCCCCAAAAACCTGCTTTAGCAGAGATTGCTAGCTAATTATACCACCTGCTTGCTCTTCCTGGCAGGTGGTTGGCCTCTTTTTCGCAGCCTCCCTTGCAGCTGGGTGAGACTGTGTAACCCAGTCCCAGCCAATGGAATGTGAATGAAGGTGAAGGGCACCGCTTCCAGGCCTGGTCTGTAAAAACTTCCCAATTGTCTTCTCTTCTGGAAGTTCGTGTTGAAAAATGGCAGAGCCACAGGGTGGAAGGCATCTGGGTCTCTGAATGATCACTAACCATGTGGGACTTTACATGTGCAAGAAATAAACTTGTGCTGTGTTGCGGCACTGAGGTGGGGTCAGGGCTTCAGCTTCTCTGTTACAGCTTCTAGTGTGATCTGAACTTCCAGCTTCCTCTCTCATACACCGTCTACGTAGTCTAGGCTCCAGACGCTCACTTCCCTGCCCATGTCTTTGTTTACACTGTTCTCTCTTCCTGAAATGCTTTTTCAACGTCCTTCCTTCCAGGACACCTCGGATGCACCTGACCATGACCTTTCTAATTCTGTATAACAGTTACTAGTTTGCAGGTTTGTCTTTCACAAAAGATTTTAGTTCTCTGAGTGCAAAGACTCATTTTCCTTTAGATTCTCATTTATCTCAGCATTCCCCTAGCAGGGTGCCCTGAATATCAAGTGTTAGTTCAAATAAAATTGGAGATATGAGTAATCTAACTTCTACTCTGACACCTCCAACCACTATTTGAGGAGCATAAAGCATGTTTTAAAGCAAAGCTCTCAGATTTTAACAGTCCCAATGGACATGTTTTGGGTCTTGGCTTTGAGTCACTAAGGGGTTTCACAAAGGTATCCTAGGGAAGAGCTGGTTCACCAGGCTACTGCTGACCACAGTGCTCTTTACCAGGGATGAACAAAGTAGAAGCAAGAAATGGTGAGAAAAGGATGGCGGTGATGGTGGGTGAGTGTGTGCAAGGAGAGGTGTTTCTGTCAGTAAGAATGGAAGCTCCATAACACAGATTTTGTCTGTTTTGTTCACTGTTATGTCCCCGGTGATGGGTACATAGTAAGTATGTGTTGCACAAAGGAAAGAATGAGCATGGAGCAGACCCACATGTGTTAGCACATGTGTAGAGGCATGAATACTGGGACATGAGTGTGAATGAACACAATGGGTGCAGGTGGCGGATGGAAGGCATGCGTGTGTGTGTGTGTGTGTGTGTGTGTGTGTGTGTAAGTGTTCCTATGTCGCCCATCATCATGACCATGATAGCCTGTCATTGAGTGCCCCAAGGGTGCCCATGAGGTTGTGCCCCTGCAAGGAGTAGCAGCCCACACCCAGACTCCTCCTGCATCCCTTTTTCTTATCAAAATACATCCCATTCCTTAGAGCATGCTCTCTGCAATCATGCATGGTGTGAAGAGCACTAGTTCTGTGTGTGTTGTGACAGCTCTGCTGTGTGACCTTAGGCAAGCCATTTAACCTCTCTGAGCCCCCTTTCTTCTTTATTTCAATGGGGATAAATGGCCACCTCTCAGGGCTTTTGTGTAAATGGCCTGGAATAAGTGAGATCATAGTGTAGAAGTGTTTTGTGAAGTGCCCAGACGCATGCAGATGGAAAGGATTATCTGGCATTAGGAGGCTGTCAGGCAAACTGACAGACAATCCTGGCTGAAATGACAACTGGTTGAGGCCAGAGCCCTGCACCATCTCCCTGCTGGCAACTTCAACCCCAAATATAGGACATTAGGTCTCCCAGACGTGGCAGCTCTGCTGATCCCACCTCTGGCCTGGTACCCTGTCCCAGCCCTTCCTGGTCCAAAACCTGTGTCTGTGGGAGGAGGTGGACCTGGGAAACATCCCTTCCCCCCAGCTGGGTCCCATCTCACCACACAGGCCATGGCCCTGGGCCTCGCTGGCTTTGCTGGCTTCCAGGATCATGAGTCCTGAGCTATGGAGCCACTGGATCTGTATGGGTGAGGGTGTCTGGATCACGTACATGTGGCCTGTGTCCTCAACTCTGAACCCATACCTGCTCACAGGTGGCCACACAGGCTGTGAGTCCACAGTCACCTTGGGGAGGAGAAGTTCAGTGTAAGCACAGCTTGTCTGTCCATCCATCCATTCATCCATCCATCTGTCCATTATCTGACAAAGATTTATTAGGCACCTGCTATATGCCAGACTCTATTTCAGGCACATACAACCAAGACATAGACCAAGGTGGCATGGAGGATTCTGAAAATATTTTTATAAGAAAAAAACAATGAAACAAGAAATGCAGCAGCAGATGGAAGGCTGCATCTCAATTCCCCCAAACACAAATCCTGAGCCCTCCCAACCACTCTCTTCTTTCCTGATTCTGCTCAGGTCATTTCTTCAGGGAGATTTTCTCTAAATTCCCTACCTTGGGGTTAGGTACCCCTTCTCTGGGGTCTCCTCATCTCTGTGCTAACTATTATGAAAGAATCTATTTGTTCCCTCATCAATATCCCCAGTGCACTATGAGTTTCTTAAGGGCAGAAACTCTGTCTAATTCATCTTTGAATCCCCAGCATCTGTCTTTGGGCCTGACATAAATTGGGGGCTTAATCAATATTTATTAAATATGCAACACAACCTAATATTCACAAACACTTTAAATCCAAAGCTGCAACTTCTACTACATATTGACAAGGTTAAATTCAGATGTATTATGGATTATTAGTTTTATGCTGTAAAAATGGGAGATTAAAATACTAAGATTTAAAAATATCTTTTATGACTTTACCTCCTCCCTTCAAGACGAGACAGTTTTATTAGTCTCTTTGCAAATTATCCAGCATGTGAACTACTGTATTGGAGTAGAAAGAGCCCCAGCCCAGGAGACAGAAAACTTTGTGACCTTGGGAAATCCCTAGCTCCCTCACAGACTGAGCCTTCTCATTTGTACAGATAGGGTCTTGGGCTCCGTGATCCACAAATGCTGTCCAAGTTCTGGGAGTGAATATCCATACCTGAAGCCCAGAAAGCCTCACCTGTGTTCACGGGATTCCAAGTCCAAGTAAGGACAAAGGACAAAAGTTCCAAAACTAAGTACTTGGACTTCTACTTCTGACCAAGACCGAATAATTGGGACTGGATTTGCTCCCTTAAACAATCAAAAAACCAGACAAAATATATGAAATAACAGTTTTCTGACATTGAAGAGTTGGTAGTGCAGAAGAGTGATCCCCGAAAAGAAGGAAACAATGAGGTGAATCTTATGATTGCCCAAGGTTAATGCTTAGAGAGTTTCTAGGCCACAGTGCAGGGAGGAGGAACCCAGGCAGAGCCTGGTTGTCTCCCTGAGTATATAAGGCAAGAGTTGGGTGCTCACGGAGGCCCAGATAGCTAGAGTTTGCAGGTCAGAATACTAAAGAGAAGAGAGCTGGAGATGGGGGTGGGGTGGGGTGGGGGGGCGTGAAGAATGCGCTCTGAAGCTGTGCAGTCCTCTGACCCTGTCCTAACCTTATCCTGAGTTTTCAGCTGAATATTGATCAGTGTAAGCAGATGAGAAAATTACCTGAGGCTAGGGAAAGAACCACCTGAAATGAACAGAAAGAAAAGTCCTCAGAGCTAACACAGGGCTGGGAATAGCTGGAGTTACCACTAGATAGAGTAGAAAAACCTCATAAACATAGGGTATACGATAGGTTATGAAGAAGGGTATTGCTTCATTAGTGAGGAATCAGTATGTAGAATGAATATGAAGAAAAAAATTACACTTAGAATAAACACTTCCCTGGGTTTACCTAACAAAGCTTAAAGGCAAGGCTCAAGAGGATCAAACTGTTTCCAAGTAGCATAACTGCTACAAAATTCAAAAATATTTTTAAAAAATAAAATGAAAGTATATCCAGCAACCAACATGGCAAAACTCACAATGTCTGGAATCCAATAAAAAATTGTCAGGCATGTAAAATATCAGGAAAATACAATCCATAATGAAAGAAACAAAAATGTTTCAGAAAAACCCAGAAATGACATATATGTTAGAATTGGTACACAAGGACATATAAAAAATTATTATAACTATATTCCATATGTTCAAAAAAGTGGAGAAAAGGGGCTGGCCCGTGGCTCACTCGGGAGTTTGGTGCTGATAACACCAAGGCCAAGGGTTCGGATCCCTATATAGAGATGGCTGATTGGCTCACTTGGGAGAGCGTGGTGCTGACAGCACCAAGTCAAGGGTTGAGATCCCCTTACTGGTCATCTTTAAAAAAAAAAAAAAAAAAGGAAAGAAGAAAAAGACAAAAGAATGTTAATGTAAGATGTGGAAAATATCAAAAAGACCCAACTCAAACTTCTAGAGGTGAAAAACATAATGTCTAAATTGAAAAATACCCTGGATGGGATTAATAGATGTTCAGAC